CCCCCCCCCCCTCCGTGCTTAGGGCCCGTACCTTAAAACTGGTACCAGGGCCCGAGATGGGATGTGGCGAGCCTGCACGAAGGCTATTTCCATTTAAATCTTCCTTCACATTCATTCCGCGTGATGATACAAATATTTGAACTCTCCGGAACGCGTGAGTAATCACGCCGCATTTGAAGGCGTTTTCAAAACAGCCAAGTTCCGATACCCGGATTAACGTTTTGCTTAGTTCATATTCTTTTGTTATATTCCGTACCACTCTTTTATTTTTAATCCTCGTAGAAAAACCACCCATTTGCTACATACAATTGTAGCTGAAGCGCACTTCAGCTATGCATTTACCACTGCAAAAATTTCAGAGGAAATCGACAAGCCCCGCGTGCATGGAGGCTGTCTCCATTTAAATCTTCCGTCACATTCTTACGGCGCAATGGTACGACTATTTGAACTCTCCGGAATGCGTGAGGCATCACACCGCATTTGAAGGCGTTTTCAAAACAGCCAAGTTCCGATACTCGGATTATCGTTTTGCATAGTTCATATTCTTTTGTTATATTCCGTACCACTCGTTTATTTTTAATCCTCGTAGAAAAACCACCCATTTGCTAAACACAATTCTAGCTGAAGCGCACTTCAGCTATGCATTCACCACTGCAAAAATTTCAGAGGAAATCAACAAGCCCAGCGTGCATGGAGGCTATTTCAATTGGAATCTTCCGTCGCATTTCTAAGGCACGATGATACAACTATTTGAACTCTCCGGAATGCGTGAGGTATCACGCCGCATTTGAAGGCGTTTTCAAAACAGCCATGTCCCGATACCCGGATTATCGTCCCCCGGTGATAGGAACTAAAGCCCGACTGTATACTTTTTTATAGCTTCGTATAGCCCGGCTATATGATTTGCTCCGCTTTCTACAGGCAGCTATATGATTTTCAATAGCCTTCTTTAGTCGGCTATAAGAACTCCTATGGTATTTTGAAACGCAGCTCCTATCGCCAATTTTTACCAGGGAGGATATATATTTGCGGTTTGTGACGCTCCTCCTATTGAGAGGGAAACTTTTTTTAGGTATCTTCTGGTTTTTGACCTCCTCCGGGGGGGAGGGGGGTTACAACTCAAAAATTTCAAATGCATGGTCACTTCCCTCATGGCCAGTGGTGCGTGACGTTTGAGTAATCCTGTAGAGGCGGAGATTTTCAGACACCGCAAACAATATATGTGATTACGCCGTCGATATAACCATTCACCGATAAGCGCGACGATTCAAAAACGATTAAAACTATGTACGCCATTTACCTTTTATGGTATATAAGCGTAAAAATCTATCGGCAGGTAGCGTTGAGGTTTGCCCTCAAATTCGCCGGTTAGGTAGCACATATATCTTTCTTTTTAAACTTCGATAAAAGTCAAAAAACAATGCGTGATCCTATTACCTGTCATCGATACTCGAAGGTTCGCCTCCTATTGTGCCGTGTAGGCAACCTCACAACATGCGTTCCGAAGGGCTCGACTCTTAACCAATTCGAAAAATACTAGTTTCTCTTGCTCTTTAATCTTGAATGTTTTGATCCCACAGGACTGTAAACCTGTCATTCCTTCGGCAACTTCTGAGCAAATTGCGCTTGGAGTTTTGCTTTAAATTGAAAAGTAACATTCCTATAACTATAGTGGACTACAGTTTTGAGTAAATCATTCGTACTTGAACTGCCGATAGACAAATTATGAACCATTATCCATTCTCCCTCCTCCTTCTTTCAGTTTAATATTTTGTTTAAACCTTGTGTTTAACGGCTAGCTGTGTTTCTAATCAGTAACTTTCGATTTAGTAACTTTTTTTACTGATTTACTAACTAGATCTAATAAATACTTATCCAAAAATTACAGTCAAATGAGGAGGAAACATGTGCTGCAAACCATGCCATGTGCCTATTCTCTATAAACTTACTGTGCTAAAAGTTGCGAATGAGTTCCGAAAACAGTTAACACAAAGGTGTCAATGTCGAATATCACCGCTGCAGACAGATCGTCGCTCCTCTGACGTAAAGGCGTATCTCAATTCCTACGTGAGCCCTGCTATACGTATAGATCCATACCTTCTAGGGCTCATGCGATAATCGAGATACGCCCATACGTCAGAGGAGTGACGAGATATGAGACTCATTAGGTGGAACTCATCACCGAGCTGATGAACTCATTGGTCATTTTGGTGGTGGCAAATTGCAGTTTTCAGTGCTAGTATTTTCCAGTGGCAAGGCGCGTGAAAGATTTATCATCGATATTCCTCCATTTGAAGCTATGGCAAAGAATCGATTATTAAGGTGTCCGTTGCGAACAACCTGTAAATCGATCCTTCTCCATAAGTTTAAACGGCAGATCAATCGATATATCGCAAAAAAGCTACGCAACTGGCATTTTCCCTCGAGATGGGAAGTCCAATCTTCGAGACGATCGTGTTTAGACTGTAGATTAACTTTGTCTTGAAAAATGCGGAGTTTTGAATCTCTTGAATATTCCCCTTTCCTCAATTAAAATGAACTCTCACACTGAAAAATTCTGTCGGCCTATACTGGAAAAAAAAGAATCTTAAATTTGCCGCCAAGAAGTATTTCTTCTTAAATCAAGAATTTTGCTGGGTATTATAAGCTACTTTTTTGCTTAACCCAAGCATTATTTTTCTTGAATCAAGAAAAAGTCAGCTAGATAAAGAAAATTCTTGGCGGCAAATTCAAGAATTATCATGCTTGATCCAAGCTACTTTTTTTTTCAGTGTATAAGGCATGAAATTTGTATTTTCACTCTTCGTTTTCGTTTCAATAGAATCCTGCAATAAGGTATCAAAGCAAAACCAGCGGCGATGAAAAAAAAAAAAAGTTTGATACGAGTGAGCCTGCGCCTGCCATTTTACGACGATAGAACTATTCAACCATGCGGGAGCTCGTATTGCCTGTTTTGAAATTAAAGGCGAACTGGTGTAGCGTTAATGTAATGTTTTCCTGATTGGTAAAAAGTTAATTTATTGTGAGAGTTCCGAGTATAATCTCACGATACTATTCCACTTCTTTCCCAGTCCTTCTTTTCTCCTGTTATCTTTATCTTCTTTCTTACATCTTCTTTCTTTCATCTCTTTTTATTTCTCTTTACTTCATCCTCCTTCTCTTCATTCACTCCTCCCTTTTTTCTTTTCCCTTTTTTATCTTCCTCATCTTCTCTCCTTCCTCATCCTTTTTCTCCTATCTTCCTCATCCCTTTTTTCCCATCTCTTTCTTTTCTCTCTATTGTTTTTCTTCTCTCCCCCTCACTTTTTCTTCTTCTTTCTTTTTTCCTTCCTTTACTTCCTCTTTCCATGTTTTCTTTTTGGACGGGAAATATAGAAAAAAAACTAGAGGAAAATAGCAAAAGTGGACCACATACATTAACGACCGTTTATTGGTAAACGGTTATTGCGAGTGAACCCAAATTGGACCTCAACCTCCATACGACCGGAAAGCACTTCATCAAAAAATTGGAATAAGTCGACGCGATTTTGAGAAAAGTTATCGACTGACAAACTCGCCGACTGAAGCCGTCTTACTACAGTGTATGGGGGATTCAAAAGGAAATCTTTGACACCAAATTTAAGAATATTTAAGTGTAAATAGCGTCATTTTCTTTCCCATCGTATCTTGAAACGACGGAATGCTCAGACACTGACCCACAAAAAGGATGCCACTCCAAGATCAGGTATCAAAATCGACCACAATTAGTGAGAGTGTAATTGCAGCTGAATGAGCAGTGATGAAAGAGGAAATTGAACGAGGAGGCGTCTGAAAATGAGTCAAGAAACCGATAAAAAAAAGAATAAATAAATAAAAGGTAGAAACCCGGCCGTTTTTAGAGTATAATCGCTGCAAAGTGGACCCGATAAGTGCCCGCGAAGGGGGGAGAGGGGGGCGACGGATACCGCGACGCGACCCCACCTTCTACTTAACACCTATTTTATACCTCAGTGTTTATACTAATAATCTTATATCTTCGCTCCTCCACGGGAGCGGGCTCGGCAGTTGCCGGCCGTCGCGCGAACGCGAAACGTGTATCAGAACGTGCGTCTCCGCGCCCGATGACGTTAGAGGCTTCAGTGACTAATAACGCCCGATAACGCCCTAATAACGTCGATTAGCGCCGTCTATTGTTCCCTAAAATTCTACTATGGGTCCAAGTTTTTTCGGGTGACGGTAGTGCACGCGATGGTCGTCTATTTCCCGACACGATCTTTCAGTTCACAGTGATAATGAAGTCGCCGTAATGAACCCTACTAAAAATGGTGCGTAAGTGGATAACACACATCGGTAGAAATTCTACTCACGTTTTTGAAGTATTCTGCTAATCAGCGTAGACACTCAACGCATAGCAGTACGATTTTTGCCTGCTGTTACTGATAAGGAGGCTTGCATACAATTTAAAGAAAATCGCGGATTCAACTTTTGTTCTAATCGGCCGAGTATCTAGTCGTATGAATTTGCAATATAAAGAGTAAAAAAACTGATTCTATTGCAGACTTATCATGCATTAAAAGAATCCGCTCCTACTTGCCGTTTTTAGAAGGGAAATACGAGAATTTTAGGATAATACTTTGTATCGTGAGCATGTACGCATGACATGAATCAATGTAAGTTTAGCAAAAATATGTCTATTAGTGCTAAAGTGAGTATCTGGTTATAGAACGTGACGTGCAGTAGTATACTTTATGGAACTAATGTCCAAAATTCGGTTGGATTGGAGGAATGAATAGTGACGGTGCGAAAGTTAATACTCGGTGTGATTTTCGGCCAATCAGTGCTTGGCACCGATAGCCGAATTTGCAAGTTTTTCAAAGTTTTCAGGCAATTCCAACTATTCCAGGTTTCCCTAACACTTGTGCTCCCCAAAATACTACTAAAGCAGTTATAACAATGCGTTCAAAAGGTATAAATTTTCTCACATAAAAAATTGTGCAAGGAAGGTCCTGCGTTAAAAATTGCAACTCAAGAATCCAAAACTTCCGTTCCCTTTAAATCATACACAATCTTTTTCCTAGACTCCATAAATACTAAAACAGCACTCTTCTTGGTACGAAATTACTGGGAAATTTATAAGCTGCCGTCTTATCGCAAGGAAGATTAAATTCGAGTAAGCACATAATAATATCGTAAGATTAGAAAACATATGCAAATTAAGACAGTGTTCAAATATATATTTTAGGCACGGAAATCAATAATTGTACCTTAACTGAAGTGTTTTTAATTTTGCGACCCATTATACATTTTCTCATCCTCGTGTTCTTAGAATGTACAGTTTGCGGTTTTGTTTGGATTGTTTGCGCATTCCTCGATGAAAAATTCCGTCGGATGTTCCAACGAGGTATCGTTGGATGATTTAAGTGCTATATCCTTCCTGAAGAATTCCCAGTTATTCACCAATTATCCAGAGATGCTCCAAGAATAATGCCGTGTTATTTGTGAGGGATTAGACATTTCAAGTGCGCAGCTGACTCCAAGTGGCCTCTTAGCGAGAACCCGCACAATTAACATCCGTCGATTTCAGGTGAGTGTTATAGTTTCATGATGTCTAAAGCTTTTTCATCGAGAGGCCGCCTGAACGGGAGGTGGAATAATTTAGTCATTTAAGTCACGGATTTTGTGGTCGATACAATGTCAATCGATCGATAAAAATTGAGCGGAGCGGAATCAACTTGACCTGAAGAGAGTCTGCTCTGCATACCATTACATACCGCTCTTTCCACCAACTTGACGGATTGCCAGGAAAAAAGGCCTGCGCGCTGATTGTTGAAATTGATAGACAAAGCGATAGACGAAGCGATAGACGAAGCGATGGACAAAGCGATAGACAAAGAAGGCATAAGGAGTATGGAGCGATCATATTAGTTGAAATGGGTGGTTGTCATAGATAAGGAAGAAAATTATGGACTAACTATAGGGTCTCTCGCAAGGGGCCTGGGGCCTCCCTTTGTCCATTGCAACCACCTGTTTTTACCAATAGGATCCCTCTATATCCTTTTTGCCTTATTTGTCAATCCCTTTGTCTACCAATTTCAACAATCAGCCCGCTGGCCAAAAATCTGAGAATATCTTTATTTTCATCTCGTAAAAGTATGCCTCATCCAGAGCAGACATTTGTCACCAAGATTGGTAATGTTACGTGGTCACGTGGTTAAGCAAATACCGTGCAGTTATAGAACAACACTGGATAAAAGTGCCTTAATTAAGCAAAAATATACTTCAATTTTCCTTCAATGAGATGATTTCCTAAATCGATGATAAAATCGCTCGATTTATGCAGATATCTATCTTTTGGATATAAGCAAATGTCTTCTCAATATAGGCAGCTTTTTAATTCTGAGAGGAATTTTCTCTTGGCAGTATGTTATTGTACCCATGAAATGGCTTTCAAGATGTATTGAATGTGCAAGTGCTAATAATTTCATTATTAGGTTAGGTGATTTGCGGCTAGGAAGCAGGGCCCCCCTGTTTCTTATGGTACAAAACTTTTTCCTATAAAAACCCCGTGATTTTGAGGTGTATAGGACTGATTCTGTAGTCCCAAAAATTCTCACACGACACAATTTGGTAGTGCTGCCACATTTGGTGGGATTATCAGCGGAAGGATTTGAGGTAGTTGACAATTTAGTGCGATTTTGTTAAGTATTAAACTAGGTACAAAATTAAGTTTGATGTGCCAAAGCTGAAGAAAGGATGTTTAATATCTTTAGAATGAATTTATGAAATCTGGTACAAATTGATTCACATCTATTTTTAAGTCCAGTGGACATCCCAACTTTCCTTTTGGACTACAATTGCCCTTATTGATACGATATTAAATTTTTATCCTGCCGTTATGAACTGTCAATGTTTTATTCAGGAGACTCAACCAGCAAATTGATATCGAAAACTTTCATTCAGGGGACTCGACCAGCAAATTGACATCGAAAACAAGGGGGTAAAAGCATGTGCAATTCACTGAATACAATCGAAAATAAATCGCGTATTTACTTGCATCAATTCTTGATAGTATCTCATTGTGAGCGATGATGAATGAAAAACCTTATAACGTGGCAAACCTGATAAGCGTACAATTTAAGCCGAACTGGCTTAACCTTTTCGGAAGTTATCGGAATTGACGAGAGTAGAACAACAGTCTTTGAAAGTTAAAAGATGAACATAACAAATACATGGATCGTTTGAAAAGAGTTGTCCCTGCGCTCAGTAAATTCATTGGAAAATATATTCAAATACATTGAACATAGGTGCATTGTTATACCAAACATATCGACGGTGTAAGTCGGCAATCACATAACTCGTTTGCGGTGTCTGAAAATCTCCGCTTCTATGTTATTTTTTTAAGGGAGAAAAAATTGACATCATTCCTTGAAGTGTTTGCAGAATTTTCTTCGTACAGAGAAGAAAAATCACGGCAGTTTTAAAGAATTGCCGTTTAGTAGTTTTCCGTTAAAAAATATAGTAAGACAGGAAGTTTGCGACGTCGCAAACCGAGTTATGTGATTACCGACTTTTCACGGTCGATATCCGATACCGTTTGGTTCTTCTGTATACTAAACGCAACTTAATGGTCCAATTGAACTCCTGAGATCGTTAAACGTGTGTTCAAAAGTTGGTCATTCATATGTAAACTTCACCTTTTTGAAAGTTCTCTCCAAAAGCAAGTATAAATCAAGAGTCCTCAATGTGAAATGAGAGAAAAAAACTAATGCAGTCGTAACTCTGCATGATATTCTTGCAACGGAATACAAAGTAGAGCGTCTTTTCCAGAATGCTGTTGTCGTGACATATGTTGAAGTTGTTGAAGTCAAATCTTAATCCTGTAAAATGGCAAACTACAACATTAATTTTTTCGATGTTTCTAAGTCCCGGCAAGGAGAAAGAACAGACGTTAATTTTTCCCTTTGTGCGTGGCTCTCATTTCGATGAGTTCGCCTTCAATAACTATGATGGCAATTTTAGCGACTCGGGAGCACGAATAGTTGCGGCAGTAGTTTTGCCACTTCTGCGCGGTCCTGGCAATGAACACACAAATTATACCATGCCTTTTTCAACCTCAATTGTCCCCAAGGTGTTACACGCTATTTTCACCACCAAGGTATAATAATGTCCTCTCTAATTTAGGATAAGCTAATTCCTTAAAAAGATCCATCTAGATAGAAGTGAAAAGCATCAACATGTAATTTTTACAATATATAAGTAGGTAGCACAGAATCCTTGCGGAAAATACAGAAACTACGGCTTGCGATACATAAAAATTATAATTTCATACAAGTATTAGATACGTGTATTTGCATGTATTTGTAATGCTGTATGTGGATATGGATACAAGTATTAAATATTGTATTAAATATGTATTATATATGTACTATATATGGTATCTACACGATACATATCCGATAATTGTATTTTGATTACCAGGGCAGAGTACATGGTTAGAAAAAGGAGGGCGGGGGGCTTGTCCCTCTAGAAAACTACCTAGCTCCTAGCAAGAATATGAGGGATTTTGCTAAGCAATCGCATGACAAAGTCTTCATGTTGGACATTGTAATTGGATCGATTTTTTTATGAGAACAACTCGAAATTAATCCTAAGACGACTCAATTTTTCAAAATTTTCACGGACTCCCCTTTAAAATTAGAATAATTCCCCGAGCCCTCCTCTGGAGATAGGGGAGTCCCGCAGGAGCAGGCAGACTCCCTTTAGTGTTTTTCGTGTCCCCTAGACCCCCTCGAAGAGGTGCCCTTCTGCCCCCCTCCACGAAAAGTCCCCAGATCTAATCATGGCAACGAATCATTTACACACTGAAGCAGTTCAACGATGAATTGGACTGCGTTTTGCAATTTGGAACTATAAATATGGCCCGGTTTAAAAAACACCGTATGTGCCATTAGTTTCCCTATGCACATAAGTGTTTTTTCAGATGAGCCAGAATTTATAGTTCCAAATTGCAAAATGCAGTCCAATTAAGGTTACATTTATGATACTCGTAATCATTTAACTCAAGAAAGAACAACACAATCGAATTCGTGTACTGATCGATTGACTTTAGAATTGATTCGTCCTAGAAAGTGATGCATAGTCATATTAAACACTAACAGCCTGCTCAAGGTAAACAATCCACAACCTGTTGATTTGAGGCACGCAACCGAACGAATACCCCGAACTACAGTAATTTACACTTACGTATATAACACATAACGACGGTGAAACTACCAAACCACGTATCTCGGTTGCGGTGTTTAAAAATCTACGCTCACATTTTATTTTTTTAAGGTAGACCAAATCAATATCATTCCTTGAAATTTTCACAGAATTTTCTCCGCACGAAGAGGAAAAATCACAGAAATTTTCAAGACTGGACGTTCAGTAGTTATTCATTTAAAAAATAAAGTATGACAGGAAGTCTGCGACGTCGCAAACCGAGATACGTGGTTTGGTAGTTTCACCGTCGATAAGTTACACATAAGTATTTTGATTTCCGAGAATCATGACACGAACAAGTACAAGTAAGGTATCGAATACCTGGGTACTTACACAGTATTAAGTAAGGAAAATTCACGAAATATTTGCATGCATCTAAGTGCCTGATAAAAGGGTTAAATTGTAAATTTAATTATAAGTTTGTTCTTCTTTATTAAAATTTAAACTAGAAGCATGCCGCAACTAGAAGCATTTAGCATGCCGCTTCAAGGCACTGCTTCTCCCGCAGCATCATCTGATACCTCAAATTTTGTAAATTTACTTGTTCACATCACAAATTTGAACGCCATTTTATCTACTTGGTTAGGTTTTATCCTCCAAAATATGTCTCCTACGCGTAACAAAGCCAATGCTTTAATTTTAAATTCGATGTCGAAATCTAAGACCGATTTACTTCGGATTCGTTTGAAATATAGTAGTGAGAGCCAAAGGACCCTAATTGTAATATTACAAAGTTTCAATTGGAATCTTATTATCTTACTCATTATTCATGGGTTCGGGCGTACGTTTCTTGTTAAAAATCTCAGCGAATTGTCATCAAAACACAAAAAAATTAATTGAAAATTTTCAGAGTGAATTTACGAAGGGCCGAATTTTGTTGATCCTTCCACCGTACTTAAATATACTTAGGACGGGTCTCGACTGCACTTAAGTCCGGCTTAGCGCTTCTGATTGGCCGGTGGTGCGTTGCACTCCGTGTGAAAAAGCCGACAAAATTCGGCTCCAGGTTTTGAGCACTGAAAAAAATCTTTAAGTAAAATTTTGCTCTATTGCAGAACAGTTGAATCTTGATCCGTAAATGGTTATTAGAATTATTGATAAGCTCTAAATGCATCACATGGAATTTTATGGGAGATTAGCAAGGTTCCGGCTGCAACCGGTTTCCGGTTATCAACTGTTTTTCTTCTCGATTATGTCTGAAAATTCATAACTTCCTCTGTGATAGGCACTGAGTATGGCACGAGCAGGTATTCATTCCGGCGATTACGTGATGCGTTACCGACTCATTTTCTCGGAGTAATTCTCTGTTCTTTGAGCTGTGGG